GGAGTCCAAGAGACCAGGGCGGCGGGGGGCGGGGGGGCGGGGGGGATTGCAGTCATGGGGTGGAGAGATGGCCAGGCCTTGACCCAGAGTCACAGAAGTGGAGATGAGACAGGAGAACAGAGTCAGAATGCATGCTACCCCTTGGCTGAGTTAGAGAGAAACTCAGTCCCTATATCACCTTCCTGGCACCAATAAACAACCAGATCCAGACAACACAATTATTATTTTAAAATATCAGTTCTTTTTTTTTTAGTTGCTATGATTCACCATTGTGTGGATTATGAGAACTCAGACACGTCTCTGGGGATCACTGGACTAGGAGACCACGAAGATGGAGACCATTGGCATCATGCACAACCTCTTTGCAGAATTGGGAGAAAAGGGTTTTTGTTTGGAATGCAATGTGCACGGCTGTGTTTGTTACCCTCCAAACAATGTCCCTCCGACTAGCTGCAAATGCTGAATATGTTAGAAAGAGCGGAAGGGGGAGGAAGAGTGACTCTCATAAGCTCCTGATTGTTCTACACACCCGTGGGCAGACGAAATATGGCTGGAATTAGGGGGCAAGGGAGAGAGGGGTGTGAACCAAAAATATTACTTTGAGAGTCTACATTCAACAAGTTGCAACTGTGAAAATGCTGTTTTGCTCCTAGGGCATAGCTGAAGGCCAAGACAAGGGACAGGAAGTCACACCCGTGAGTTGCTCTCTCCCCCGGGACCCTGAAGAATTGGAGATTGCCACGGAGGACCCCCAGACAACAGCTATCACGGAGGATAATAATCCCATCATGAGCTTCTTTAAAACGCTGGTAAGTCATTTCCTTCCTTTCCCCCTCAATTCTATTGCTCAAAAGTTGTGTTATTCTAAGAATAATGCACATTTGAGTGTCATTGTTCTGACTGATGCAGCTGGGACACTGGAGAACAACGACAAGATGTGTTTTGCAAGGAAATTGTTATAACAGGCCTTCAATGAGGGAGACTTCGGAAATGGGAGCCATGGGTGCCTAAATTCCATAGCGTTGAGCTGGATTGTAATGGAACTCTATTGCAACTGGATGGTCATTGATCATGAAAATAACTGGAGAATACTTCCTCAAGTTCTTAACCCGTCAAAGCATTTTGACACTCACATGGCAAATATGATAGAAACCACTTTCTATCTTGTTCCAGCTCAGTCAACCATTTGAATTGGATGGAGGCAGGAACCCATGTCTCCCATGGCTTGCTCATCTCTGACCCTGAGGGGAAGAACCCACGACCTGGCACATGCCAGATACTCAGAAAGGGGCTGGTAAATGAAGTCATTAAGCAGACAGCTCCAAGTGTGTCTGGGCTACTTCCAAAGACCAAGACTGACTTCAGAGGAAAAACCCAAAAAACACCAAAGGGTTGTGCATTTGTTGGATTAGTGGCAGAGTCGATGGAAAGTCTGTGGCATTCCACCAGTCAATTTTTTAATGTGGTCAAACTCTTGGTGAATGTATGAGACCTGATGCATTTCATTATAAAACACCCTCTTTTGTTAACTTTTGTATAGTAGATATACCAGAAGTCTGTGGGCTTCTACTCTATTAAAAGGATTTTGGGTTACATTCTTTACCTGTAGAGTGAATTAGAATGACCTAAAAACTATGTGTCTATGAAATAAAATCACCCTAAAGAGCTATAAGTTTTAACATTTGATTTCTCAAACTTTTAAGGTGTCACCTAACAAAGCTGAAACAAAAAAAGATCTGGAAGACACGGTAGGTAGTTTGAAGTGTGTTTGTGTTTGGGTTCGTGTATAGAATTGGATTTGAATTGGTATCTGCTTCTTTGTTTCTTGAATTTTTGTGTGTGGATATGCTTATGCACATATGCACATTTTTAGCAATTTAATAGCACTGTTAGATTGTCTTTGAATGTCTCATTTATGTTAATGGCATTTTAATAAAAATTTTAGTGGGAAGCTTGAAATATATGCCAATTCTGACTAAATAATGTCACAACAATCCATTTCTTATATAGAAGAAGAGCAGAGTACTAATAATTATCTATCCTCTTGGTCTCTTTAGCTGTGTGTAGAGAGACCCAGGGAATATAGTCAAAATTAGCTCATGGAAATGAGGAAGAGGTGAGACTCAATTTATAGTGGAAGTAAAGGCTGCTATATTTTTGGTCTTTAAAAAATATGTTCCTTGTTTTTCTGTCGTTTGGGAAAAAAAATAAATCTCACTGCAAAGGCACTTATTTGATGAAATGAAGTAGTCACCAGTGGACACGCCCAAGGAGTTAGGATGCCCTAGAGACCCGGGATTTTTTCACTATCATCCTGAAATTCAGCCAATTCCCCTCAAACTAAACTTGTTTGGAATGACTACTTTCTAGAGATGTTTTCCCTTCACACTTGACAAAACTGATTATCTCTAGTGGATCACATGGCTTAAAGTCCACGGGGCTCCTAAGGAAAGTTTAGCTTGGTGACAGCTAAGTGTCTTTCGTCCTCCTTTTAATAACTGAGAGTGTTTTGAAAGACACCAGGACCAAATAAATGGCTTGGCCAGCCCGATACATCTGCTGCCCGTATTTGAAGGGGCTAAGTTATGAAAAGGATCCTAGAATTTGTCACAGACCTGTGTTTGACCTCTGGTCCTACAACCCAATTGCTATGTCATCCTAACCTGTCTGAACCCAAATCTCCACATTTATAAAATGGGGACAGTAAAAATTTTATCTCTCCGGCCCAGGAATGAGTGAAAGATGGACAATGCCTGGTAAACCATGGAGCTCTGTTCAAATGTCGGTGACCCCTATTTCCATAACCACTGTAAGGCAGACAGCACCGTGATTACATTTGTCTGGTATTGACTCGTTTCTCTAGAACTTTATGCTTTTGTTGAAAGAAATAGAGCACAGCCAGTGTTGCTCAGTGGTTGAGTGTAGACCTGTGGACCAGGAGGTCATGGTTCAATTCCCGGTCAGGGCACATGCCCAGGTTGCAGGCTCAATCCCCAGTGTGGGGCGTGCAGGAGGCAGCCGATCAATGATTTTTCCCTTATCATTGATGTTTCTATCTCTCTTCCCTCTCCCTTTCCTCTCTGAAATCAATAAAAACATACTTTTAAAAAAAGTAAAAGAAAAAATAGGTATCTGAGTCATGTACATGTGTTTTCCTGTGGAATTATTCATTTGCTATAAGGCAGCCAGTGTCAAGTTCAATGAATATTTCGGGTCCAACGTTTCTCTTTTGGGTCTGTGTTTTGTATTGTTTGAGGACGCATAGCACAATAGGCTGTAAATAGTGGGTATGTGGGTGTGTTTTGTGGCTTAAGTGACCTGATGCTCTCACTCCCTTCAGCTGCTCAGACACCAGACTAGTCCTCCACCCAGAATGTGGTCCCAACGGAACGGGCCTGGCTGATAGAATCTCTGTCCAGCCCTGACAGCTGTGAGGAGCCCAGTTTCAAAGGAGAGTTTTGTGGGTGTAGGTTGTCCTTGACACCCACAGACCTCTTTCTACAGCCCTGGTTCTCATACCTGGTCTTTTTGACATGTTTTCTACTGCAGTTCTTGGAATCATACTTTTGAAATGTCTGTGCCATTTGTCCATCCTTCCATTTGGGGAACTTTTAGCACACTGCACACCCCACACAAAATCGCCCCCCATTTGTAACTTGAGTCAACAATTCTGAGTGGTTGTGGCTGGGCTACTTCAGTTCCAACCTCTCCCCACTTTGGCTCAGTGAACTGGCTCAGACTAGCAACTTCTTTGGTCTGGGAGATCTGCCCATCTAGAAGTCAGCTAACATTTTTGTGGGTGATACTGCTTCCCTGAAGTCGCTAGCACTGAATTAAAGGAGGTTCGTTTGGAAATGAAAGTCACTTGATTCTAGGACGCAAAAATCTATCATTTGTTGTCTTCAAATATTTGTTTTCTTTCCCATGTGGCAGTACACTTAAATCAGCGGTTTTCAACCTGTGGGTCGCGACCCCTTTGGCAGTCGAACGACCCTTTCACAGGGGTCGCCTAAGATCATCCTGCATATCAGATATTTACATTATGATTCATAACAGTAGCAACATTACAGTTATGAAGTAGCAATGAAAATAATTTTATGGTTGGGTCATAACCTGAGGAACTGTATTTAAAGGGCCAGAAGGTTGAGAACCACTGACTTAGATATTTAAAACTGTCAAGTAGAGACTGTGTTACCTTTTTAACTTGGTAGATTTTTCATCTGGGTATTTTATGTCCTGTAGACAGAGTTGAAATGTTCTGTCATTGCCTTTAGCAAATAAAGTTGTGTTCATCTGGGTCATTGAACCAAGTTGACCTGGTGAAAACCCACGTGTGCCTGCCATGGACTGTGCTCTTTAGCAAATCACCTTTGAGAGTCTCAAAGAGAGAAACAGCCACATGGCGTCTTGTGGTTGGGGGATGCAGGTGATATGCCGCGAATTGTCGAAGTGTTTGAATGTACTTAAAAACAATGGAGGGAATGGATTTTGTTTAAAAACAAAGTGCTAAGCTGTGACTGCTGTTGCCCAAAAGGCGTGCAAAGCAGAAAGTGTCTGTGATGGGCAAGCTGGGCAGAAGACACTCGAGATCCAGGCGAAAGGCGCCAAGAAAAAGCACCTGGACAGCCCCAGGCTAGGACTCGCCTTTAGACGGTTCTTTAGGCATAAGGTCTGTATTTGCTGAACTAGGAGGGGAACAAAGAACCCTGGTCTTCACCACGCAATGCACATGCCATCCTGTATCCACCCAGCTCCGCTTCGGGGAAGAGAGAGCCTTGGGTGGCTGGAACTATTAAAGGGGGATTCAAGATTCTGTGAATCAAATTTCAGTAATTTTTTAAAAAGTCTCCATATTTACAAACATCTCACACTGGTTTCTTCCTAGCGTGGACCAGGGTTCTGAAACTATTCTTCTAACCCAGTGTTTCCCAAATGTTGAAAGTATGCATGCCACCGTCATCACTTTTGTCATATACACTATTATTTACTTGATATTTTTATATTGAAGTCAACCCATTTCCTATGGAAAGGTATCTTTAATAGAAACTTTATGTTACATTTTACGTAGGAAATCAGAATCCTCAGACGAGGAAGGTAACCATTAATATGGCTAATAAAAAAAATAGCTTACATTTTTAAGCTCTTTGTGTTAAGTCCAAATCTAATGCCCTTTGAAGGCAGATAGCCACCAGCAGACCAAGAATTTCCCCCAAATCTTTTGGGAATAATTCAGTGAGAGTTGAAAAAGGAAAAGTATTTTCAGTATTTGGGTGTCATTTCATGTCATATCTCTGTGCAACGTAAAATCCTCTCTGATACCGTCAGTGGTATGCTTTCTACACTTTGGGAAATACTCTTCTAACTTAAAGATAACAATTTTATCTTTCTGTGGCCTGCTCCATCCATTGCCTGTATTAACTGAGCTTATACTGAACCCACATGAAAACCCAGGCAGAACAAAACAACGAATGGGCAGAACAAGTTCTATCTCCATGTCCTTAGGAGTCCTTGGGAGACTTCACTCTTCTCATGGCTAAGAAGATGCCAGTGTTGGTCTGAAACCATCAGTTAAAAGCACCCTTGAATTGGGCCAGCGGGCTTGGGAATGTGTCTAAAATATCAACCATTCTGCACTAAGTTGAATGATCTTATTAAAAAATGTCCCAGCTGGATGTGATAGTCCCAGGATTGTGTATGCAAATAAAAGCTCCATAGAAATTCTCATGGGTGAATCTATATTTGCATAAACGTGTTAGGAAGCCACCCTTCAATTTCCATACAGGCTTTTTTTGTTCTGTAAAGAGAGAAAGGGGTGATAGAAATTGCGATGGAAGGGGCAACGTTAAAAAGCAGTGGTACTGTGTGCGGGAGTCCGTTTGGTAACAGCTAGTGAAACGCCATAGGCCTCATGCAGGGGGTCCAGCTGAGCTCCTCTGGAGCCCTGATGAGTAAGTAGGGGCCTTGGAGTGTGAGAAGAGTACTCAGCCCAGCCCTGCATTTCACGATGACATTCATCTCACACCCAGAATCCCTCCCCTTTCCCTGGACCCCCAAGTTCAATCTTCCTAGGACCTCCCCAAATCACTGGCCTCCCCTCCTGCCCCTGACGTGCATATTGGGTAGGATGGCAGTCCCTTTCTGGGATGCTGTAATTCACATGCAAGGACTTTGGGGTTTTGCCTCAAGTCACACGCAGTCTCTTTCCATGTAAAAGTGGAGTAAGGGGATTCCCAACTGTTCTTAATTCTCGTATGCAGCAGTTTGGTAGCTCTCCCTGGCTCTTATCTCCATGCCTAGGACAGTTTGTTTATTTTCTTTACTTGGTTACCCTGTTGTGCAAAAAGATCAGAAAATAGGGCTATTGAAACTGACCCGGCAGATTCTATCAATAACCCTTGTGGCATGATTACAGGAGGTGTGATTAAAATCAATCTTCTTGATTTTATTATAACCTAGAATAGAAAAGAAGAAATCCAAGCCCTAGCTGGTTTGGCTCAGTGGATAGAGCATCGTCCCAAGAATGGAAAGATCTCGGGTTTGGGTGTGATTCTGGTCAAGGGCACGTACCTCTGTTGCACACTCCATCCCTGGCCTGGTCGGGGCACGTGCAGGAGGCAACCAATTGACATGTCTCTCTCACATCAATGTTTCTCTCTGTGTGTCTCTCCTCCTCACTTCCACTCTCTCTAAAAACCAATGGGAAAATATCCTGGGGTGAGGATTAACAAAACAAAAGAAAAGAAATTCAAGGATGAAATACTATCTTCTAGTTTTGCTCTAAATGGTTACCAATTCTGGTTAATGCCTAGGTTTGTTTCTCTAAGTCTCAATTTTCTTCCTATAAAAAGAATTCTTTAGCCTAAAAAAGTGGAGAAGCCTGGAATTAATAAATGGAATAACATTCTTGCCATAAAGAATACAAGTGTCAGCTCTCCTTGGGCTGAATCTGAATCTGCAATGCCTCAGATTGGACCTTCTCATGCGTCCCCAAACACTGGGTGTGACCACAGGCTCAGTGGCGGGCGTTGTTTTGGTGCTTTGGCCACGCCCAGAAGTGCCCCGTCCCCACTCAGGTTTTCCCGAGGGGCAGTCATCATCCTGCTAGCGCCCTTACAGTTGCTTATCGACCCCACCCACACTGTTTGGATGGTAAATCAGTGCTTGCTACTTACCCTGAGGTGCTGGGGTGTCTGTCCAGCTCGTGGCTGCCCCATCGTTGTCCTCAGCCCACTCAGCCAAAGCCGCATGAGGGTTCCACACACACAACCAAAGCCCCCAGATTCTGAAGTTCTAGAATTTCTTCCTCTTCAAAGAAGCACAGAAAACACAGCGTGTGGCTTTAAATAGTCAAATTGATGTCCTTTGCAAACACCCTATGGAGAGGCGATGTGCTGTGTGGAAAGAAAGCCAAAGTTCAGAGCTGAGGCCAGGCTGTGGCCCCTAATTAATGTCGAGCAGATCATGGGCCTCAGTTTCCCCGTCCGTGAAAATTCGGGCATTAGCCCAGAGGGTCTCTAAGACTCTGTCCAACATCAAAAGTACCATGAAGCTTCCTGAATTTCCACACCCCAGTTTTACTGCCGGATTTTTTTTCTTTTACTCAGAGATCTGACATCCCTAGAATTGAAAGGGCTTGTGTCACTAACTCCTGGAGCACAAATCATAAAATGAAGATGCTTAAAAGTGGTCAGGTCAGATGGACCGAGTGTTAAAATTGGTTATGCTGGCCAGGCCCATGTGGCTCAATGGCTGAGTGTCTACCTATGAACCGGGAGGTCGTGGTTCAATTCCCGGTCAGAACACATGCCTGGGTGCAGTCCTCAGTGGAGGGCATGGAGGAGGCAGCCGATCAATGATGCTCTCTCATCATTGATGTTTCTATCTCTCTCTCCCTCTCCCTTCCTCTCTGAAATCAGCAAAAATATTTTTTAAGAGAAAATAATTGCTAATGCCGGTGTTCACTCATGTTGAGATCAGTTGAGACTCTCTTCCTCCTAACTCCCTTTACCCCATGACTCAAGAGGAGGCAGAGCATGGGAGGTCATGGCCCTGGCCCTGAGGAAGTCAGACATCCTGGAATTGGACCTCAGCGTGGCCCAGAAGGGGGACAGGAAGAGAGAATGGGGAAGGAGGACAGGAAGAGAAAGAGAGAGGAGGGGGAGAGAGGAAAAGAGAGAAGGAAGGAAGGAAAGAAGGAAGGAAGGAAGGAAAGAAGAAAGAAGG